AGACGAATAAAAGCTTTATCAGTAGAGCTTAAAACATATCGAGCTTTAACAGTTTTATGAAATTGTATTAAAGTTATATTAAATTTAGAATTCAAATATGAGAATTAAATATTATTTATGAAAATATAATAAAATATAATAAAATAAAATTAAATATTATTTATAATTGTAACAACTACACTTATCATCATTAGCAGTATATTATTAACCCTAATTAAAATTCTCATATTCATAGCAATGAAGTCAGATGATATCATTAGAATAAAAAAACAAGATGTACAAGAAAACCTATCCTGAACTAATAAATAAAACACAGACAAGAAAATGTTACTACTCACAGTTACAATAAATAACTGTGGTCACTATGCTCGTCAAAAATTCTACGTAATACAACCAGTCACTTGTGTCGATTCAGACCTTTTATCCTACGACATGATTAAGTGACCAGAGGAACAGAAAAGCGACTCACGATTAGATGTGAAGATCGTTGTCATGATCGTTTTGGTTTAAAAAAAAAATCATTGTGAAATCTATCATCAAATAAGAATCGTCGACTCCCAAAAGAAATCTGTAACAAAATATAGAGTACTATAATTTATTCTATTGTTAAATATAGTGTTAATTATTCGAAAATTTGAAATAATAAAAGATAGATCCTTATTAAACGGATAGATTCTTATTAAAAATTTTAATAGTAATACTCAATTTCAAGAATCAAAAACTTAAACTTATGAAATTTTCAATTAAATTCTATTTTTTATTTAATAATAATTTATATAAAATACACGGTACAGAATTAATTAGAAATATAAAATATAAAGTTACGTACATTCTTGGCTTTTGATGCACCATTATATTCTTTCCAGGGAACAAGAAGAAGAAGTTGTGAAAAATCTGTAATAAATTGTGCGACATCATAATATATTCTTATGAATACGCAAAGAAAATAAATTGAAATATAATATATAAAGATACTTACATTTTTGAATTCCAAGATAGATTGTATCTTCTTGCGAAGCCTGCGATTTTACTACCGAAAGCGAATATTTAAAAAAAAAGGAAGGAAAATAAAAAACTATTAACGCGTCCGTTTAAGTAATAATCGGCGAACTCACTGACTCTAATTTCGCGAACTATTATGCTCTAAGAAATATTGAAAATTATACGACGGAACAAACACTGACTCTACCAACCGCATTGTGCACGGTCAGAAAAATTCTCTGAAAGAAAAACTTTATTATAAAGTAGGAAATAAATAGAATGTTTGTTTAAAGAAAATACTGCTTTTCCAAAATTATCAACCAAGAATTATCATATTAAAATTATGAAATATTTCATTAATATATTTATGGAGTATCTTTGAATGTCTACCACTGGAGATCAAATATACCGACTTTAAACAAATCAAATATGGCGCACTTTTATTGTATGCGCAGTATTCAAACAACGCGATGCGCAGAACACAATCGAACTTTATTTAAGAATGTATATTTCCGAAAATTATTTAAGAATGTATATGAATTGAATATCAAAAATAAATGTTTACAACCAACAAAATGAGAAAATGAATGTGTAGATACGGCTACCTTTGTTAAAATAAGTCAAATGTTACTGTAACTGTACAAAAGATTTCATATCGTTAATCGTGGCGTCCACTATTTCAAAGTTTCTTCCGCAACCAACCAATAATCTGTGCAAAACAGAAACCAAAACCTTCAAATAAATGTATGAAAGAAACGAATTATATAAGAATGAAACAATGATCAAAGTCAAATATCATTTTGGAAGTTCATAATACGAGTTGCCAGTGAAAGTGGCAACTAAAAAGATTACAGAAAAAAATGTATTTTAATTTCAAATTACAACAATATTCAACAAAATTATTAAATATAAACGTACATTAATTAAACGGAGTGTGAATATACAAACGATGAAAGTGACGATGAAAGATATTACACAATTAATATAGACACATGCGACATAGAATTTCACACCACAACGTTCGACACTTAACTAACCCCCTTGCGCAACAAGTTCGCGCCGCAAATTAATTTGTTGGGGTGGGGGTTCAAGCGTTGATTTATGTTTTTAAAAATGAGCATATGCTTATGCATGAATGTCTGTAGCATTATTGACACTATGAATATATTATGTATTACATCAATCATTTTAAATTTTATGAAAACTCTGCGTCTCATTACAATGCGAATGCAAAATAGCACGCATAATACATACATAAATATTTTTTATAATAAATGATCAAATATTTTCGTAGGTTATCGTATTCATGGAATACATGTATTCATTTCTAACTAACATCGGTAATTAAATTGAAAATATGTATGTAAATATTTCTTTAAATAATGCTCACTATTCTAGATCTAAACATAAATCGTAAAAAAACAAAGTAAGAGTATTGTTTTTACCTGACAACTTATGGATGATGCTTCTCTTTGCTGTTTCCCGCCAGAAACTAATACTTTTACGTTACATTATAGACAGATTATGGATCGATTGCGAGGAATATGACATTTGAGAATCGCAATAACTAATTACGTATTTCCACCATTTCAGTGACGCTGTAATCTTGTGTGAAAATATTTAACTTAAAACAAAAAATAAAAACTTTTTAATTCTCCTTATCTACTTTATACATATAATTCTTATCTTCACCACAGCAAATTAAGAAACACTCTGACTTTCTTCGAAGTCAGTATTTCAGGAAACGAAATCTCATATGATGTCACATCTATTTTATTTTAGTCAATGATCACACGATGCAAAATTCTTTCCTGATGTTCATGATTGAAATAAATAACATTCTTTTTTCTCAAAATGTAGTGTGTGTATTTCTACACACTTCTTCTCTGATCTTATTGATTTACATCTTCTGATCTTACACATTTCAATTTGTTATAATTTTAACGTAGGAAATTCTATGTCTTAAACAATTGTATGTCTTAAAATTATACCAAATAATGGATTAAGAAAGATACATAAGATAATATAATATAAATAATGTTTATTAAAGCATAGTTTTTGTCTTTTCTATTGATACAATACAGTTTTCCATTGATTCTTGATTCTTCAAGATGTTTGCTTTATTTTCACGTTGGTTAGACATTAATGTATAAGTAATTGTATCTATGAAAGACACATAAATTCGCCGAGAAATGCAATAATAACAAATGTAACATAATGTTAAAAATAACATTGTTCCAGAAATGATGACCCTGTGAATATAGTCTTTTATCAGTAAAATATTATTTAATATGTAGTATTATATTAAAGGAACATTAAACTTACGTTAAGAGCAGAGAATTAAAATCAGCCTCATTACAACAAACATTATTACCGCAACAATATTGCTGTGGGTCACACAGACCCCAAATGCAATAAGGTGAGCTCTGAAACAATATAAAATATATTTTTTAATATTTTCATATGATTTAATATTTATACATTAAAAACTACTTTAAAAACGCCAATTATTGTCTTAGTTTTCAATAAAACACATAATAATAAATATAAAAGCTTAATATTACCATTGACAGAAATAAACGTTAAAAAATTATTGGAACAGCTATATTCTACACAATGAACTAGCTGTCAAAACATGAACATAGACTATAAAATATTAGATGTACTATCCATAGGAAAATTAAAGGCTGTCTCCAATTAACACAATACGACTTAACGATTTTTGATGTACGAACGAAAAGCTCCACAGCCCAAAGAAACGTATGTACATTTAGGAAAGCATACATGTGTACTCAGCATTCGAAATAATCTTACAATTGTATATGTCCATTCCATAAAATTAAAGATTTAAACGTTTCACTTTAAACGTTTCACATATAACAATTGTACAAAAATGACAATGAATCCGGCTACAAAGCAAAAAATTGCAATTATTTTAAACGTGAGCAAAACTGTATTTCATTGGGGATTTATTCCTGCTATATTATTTTTAGGTTAGTTTTTCTTCTCTCATTTAATAATCTCAAATTATTAGTTATATCAAATTATAATTTAATGAAAGCGAATTTATAGTTTTTTAATAAATTTAATTTGTGTCAAGTACACAAGTCACTGACAAATTAACTGGATTTTTAGGATTTAGAAAAGGTGCTGATCCAGGCATGCCTCAATTATCACTTATAAAGTAAGTTTTTATATAAATTATATATAAATTATATTATAAATTCTGGTAACAATTGAACATGGATAATTTTGTATTTCAGCTTATTATGGCAATAAAAATAGCTGCTTCAATGTTTTATCTTATTTATGAAGATATTTTCATTTCTTTATTTCCATTAAATTCAATGTATATTTATTTATGTACTAATTGTTACAGCTAAAATTATTAATAGGAGAATGCTACTTTAATGTTGAGTTGAACAAAATAAAAATTTGAATTACAATGTACCTATTATATAATGAAAAATAAAAGAAGAGCAGGATTATATACAGAAGTATTTTTTGTTATACACATAAATTTGCTGTTCTCTGTAGCATTTTAATTTAATGTACAAAAGTATTTTTTACTTTTAGCTAAACTATATTTTTAATCCATTTTATTTATATGCTAAAGACTAAAAGTTAATTAAAGTTTTAATGAAATCTAAATACCTTTTAAATGAGTTTTAAAAGGTATTTGTTCCTAAATTAGAAACACGTGCTTTTTGAAAAATTTATACATTATTTATACATTAAATAAATGATGTATTAAATATTTTAGTCTTTTTCATTATTATTTTAAATTGTATCCTTACATTATTATTTTAATTGTATCCTTAAATTGTATCCTTACATTATTATTTTAATTGTATCCTTAAATTGTATCCTTATTCTTATTTAATCCATTTAAAAATGTAATTAGATGAAACAGCAGTAATATAGATGAAACTTATAAATGTAAATGTTAATAATTACAAATTAAATTACACAGAAAATACAATTAACAATTAATTAAGATTTTTATAGACTAATTTTTCGTAATCAATACATCCACATTTTAAAATAAAAAATACTATCGCGTATTACAATTATTGAAAATGTCTTTATTTCCAATATTTTTAATTTTGAGTTAGAAACGTACGTTCCTAAGATATTAACAACGACAGATGAAATAAATTTGATTAAAATTGGAAGAATAATAATAAGTCTGATTGCGAAAGAAATAAATCTTAAATGTCGAATATATTGTTTCGTTGGTAACAGTGACACCTAACCTGTCAGAAGTAAAGTAGCAGATTGGAACTGTAGTCAGTTTTAGGCACATAGATACAACATTTTAGATTCGCGGTTTTACTGTGCTCGTCATCGTATAGAGCACAGAAGTAACAAGCGGATACAGTGTAAATTTCTCGTTGAAGCGTATGTAGAACGAAGTATTAGTGATCGTTAAAGATAGCCACCACGTTTTCACGAGAACTCCCTTGTCTAACCCTGCCTGTTATGCGGTGGTGAACGTCGACAGGTGAGTGCGCGCTTTTTGTCTCACGATATTTCCCTCGTTCTATCAACGAAAGAAAATATTTTTTTACGGCAACCGGGCTGTGATGGTGTTATTTCTATCAATTGCTCTTTATGGATCTTTACTAGTGACGGATGGTAGTGTTATAACACGAAGATTTGTGATGTTCTGAAGTTTCCTGACGAAAAATTCGAACTACTGCTAACGATGTGCATCCTGATGTAACTACATCGGTATGGATCTCCTGATTACCGACTAACCTTTCTTGTGCTCAAATATATTTTTTTTCCCCCATAAATATCTTCATCCAATTGCATTTACGATCACTTTTCTTTGATAGTTCCTCGTAAGCGCACAAAGATTTATTTATAGTTTCACAAACGATTTTAACAGTTCCAAATGTGCACGCAAGCAAATAAATTGTGATATTGAGATTTTGGAATAATCAATCACCAATTGATATCGTTAGATAGTAATATATTTGAAAATTAAATCCATTGAATGTGTTGTTTCCTGTTTTAATTATTATTATTATCACTATCGTCATCGTTATTATCATTATCACCATCAGTATTATCCTCACTTGTATCCTAAAGTTATTCTAATAAAATCAGTATTCTACATTTACCTGTATGAAAGTAAAATTTTATTACTCATTATTTGATATTTACACCTCATTTGCACATTTCCCCTTGTACAATTTATTCTGTACTACATAACAAATCCTTTTGTATTTTTTCTTCAGAAATTATTGTAGACAGTAGTAAAAGTGACGCTCACTCGACAAGCGTATAAAAATAGGATGTCAGGGCATAGAGGCGGAGGAGGAGCTGGGAGTCATCAAGGAGGCCCAGCAGGCCTTAAACAAATAGATTTAGATCAAATTTGGGGAGATCTTCGTGAGGGTATTGAACAAGTTTATAACAGGCAATGTATGTCTAAACCAAGATATATAGAGTTGTACACGTATCCTTTATAATTAAAAAATTAAACAACAAAAATAAAAAGAAAAGAAGTCAGAATAAAATAAACAAACAAATAATTGTCTATGTTCTATTAATTTCCTTATTATGTAACTTGTCAGACATGTATATAATTATTGCACAAGCGTTCATCAACAATTAACTAGAACATCGACCAAAAGTAAGAAAGGACAAATTTCTCAAGGAGGTGCACAGTTAGTTGGGTTGGAGTTATATAAACGTTTACGTGATTTTCTTAGAAATTATCTTATAAGTTTATTAAAGGTGATCTTTTTGTTTTGCTGATTATTATTCTTAATTAATTCAAATTTAAAATGGTTTGATATTTTAATTTGATACTTTTTATATAGCATGGAATTGACTTGATGGATGAAGATGTATTACAATTCTATACAAGACAATGGGAAGAATATCAATTTAGTAGTAAAGTTTTGAATGGTGTATGCTCATATCTGAATCGACATTGGGTACGTAGAGAATGTGAAGAAGGTCGTAAAGGAATTTATGAAGTTTATCAATCAGCTTTGGTTACATGGCGAGATAACTTATTCAAGCATTTAAATAGACAAGTAAGTAATTTAGTGAACAAAAGTATAAGAAAACAATTAAAAAGCCAGGATGAATAACATTATAATATATATGTATATATATATAGGTTACTAATGCAGTACTTAAATTAATTGAAAGAGAACGCAATGGGGAAACAATAAATACACGTTTAGTCAGTGGTGTAATCAATTGTTATGTAGAATTAGGATTGAATGAGGAAGATCCTGGTGCTAAAGGACAAAATCTTACTGTTTACAAAGATTCTTTTGAAAACATCTTCCTTGAAGATACAGAAAGGTTCTACACTCGAGAAAGTTCAGAGTTCCTCAGACAAAACCCAGTTACAGAATATATGAAAAAGGTTTTGAAATTAATTTTTGCTAAATTATTATATTTTTTGTAAAAATACTATTCATAAATTATTTTTATTATAGGCAGAACAAAGGTTATTGGAAGAACAAAAGCGAGTTCAGGTATATTTGCATCAAACAACCCATGACAGATTAGCAAAAACATGTGAAAGGGTGTTAATCGAAAAACATTTGGATATTTTTCATTCTGAATTCCAAAATCTCTTGGATGATGACAAAAACACAGATTTAGGTCGGATGTATCAGTTAGTGGCAAGAATTCCAAATGGTCTTGGAGAATTACGAAATCTTTTAGAAGGTCATATAGCTAATCAAGGACTTGGAGCTATCGATAAATGCGGTGATTCTGCAGCTAATGTAAGTTTGTTAATAGTACAAAATAACTGTAACTTGACTTTATGCAAAAATATGACCCTTTTTATAGGATCCAAAAGTTTATGTAAACACTATTTTGGAGGTTCATAAAAAATACAATGCTTTAGTACTTGTTGCATTTAATAATGACAGTGGTTTTGTGGCAGCTCTTGATAAGGCTTGTGGAAGATTCATTAATAGCAATTCGGTAACTAGAGCAGCAAATAGCAGCAGCAAATCGCCAGAATTATTGGCAAAATATTGTGACTTATTGTTAAAGAAGAGTAGTAAAAATCCTGAAGAAGCTGAACTTGAAGATACATTAAATCAAGTTGTGAGTAAAAATGAAATGAACACAATACAAACGGATTTTTGTTTATCAGAAATATTATTCTTCTTTCAATCATAGATGGTGGTATTTAAATATATAGAAGACAAAGATGTATTTCAGAAATTCTATAGTAAAATGTTGGCAAAACGATTGGTACAACATATGTCTGCTAGTGATGATGCAGAAGCTTCTATGATTTCTAAATTAAAACAAGCTTGTGGTTTTGAATATACTTCGAAATTGCAACGAATGTTCCAGGTACTGTATTATGCTATGATGTTCTTTTTTTTTTTAATTTTTATTAATTATATTTCACATGTTTTCCTTAAATTATTTTTGCAGATGATTATTTTTATATTATCTACTAATACTTGTCAAAATTATATAACATTATAATTGTAGCAGTCTGTTCACAGGATATTGGAGTCTCTAAAGATTTAAATGAACAATTTAGAAGGCATTTGACAAATTCTGCTGAACCGCTGGATATAGATTTTAATATACAAGTGCTATCTTCTGGTTCCTGGCCATTTCAACAATCTTTTACATTTTCATTACCAACAGAGGTAAATAGAATTGAACAATTCATTTGAAGAATAATACTATGATTTAAACATTATTTTTGCATTACAGCTAGAGAGATCTGTACATAGATTCACCACTTTCTATAGTTCACAGCATAGTGGAAGAAAGTTGAATTGGTTGTACAATATGTCTAAAGGAGAATTACATACAAATTGTTTTAAAAACAGGTTATAAAATATTAACATATATACATATAATAAAATTTACAACATATTAACATATAATAAAATTTAAATTCAAATAAATATTTTGTGTCAATTATGAATGAAATTTCATTCTTTTATTGCAGATATACATTGCAAGCATCTACTTTTCAAATGGCTGTATTGTTACAATATAATGGATCCACAATGTGGACAATACAACAGTTACATGATGCGACTCAAATAAAAATGGATTTTTTACTTCAGGTAACATCAAAATTAATAAAATATAAAATAGAATCTAGATAATATATTCAATGTTACAGGTTATTCAAATACTCTTAAAAGCCAAACTATTAACAGCAACTACTGATGACGAAACTGAATTGACGCCACAGTCAACAGTGGAACTTTTTACAGGATATAAAAAGTAGGTTTATTTAATTGTATCTTGCTTTATCAGAAATTATATTAGTATATTATTTTTATGACAGCAAGAAGCTAAGGGTAAATATTAATATACCAATGAAAACGGAATTGAAAATTGAACAGGAAACAACTCAAAAAAATATAGAAGAAGATAGAAAGCTCTTAATTCAGGCAGCTATTGTTAGGATTATGAAAATGAGGAAAGTACTAAAACATCAGCAATTGGTAGCTGAAGTATTGAATCAATTAAGCTCTAGGTTCAAACCAAGAGTACATGTTATTAAGGTACGTATGAACTTCACTATTTTTTAAGACATTCTCATATATGCAAATTTGTTATGTATATTTTTCTTATATTAATTCATCATAACATGATATCGATGAATAAAAATGTTGCAAATAAGATCGAATGAAAACAATATAATCTTAATACGAGATGATTCTGCTTTTTCAGAAATGTATAGATATTTTAATTGAGAAAGAATATCTGGAGCGCACAGAGGGTCAAAAGGACACTTATAGCTACCTGGCATGATCAAGTTGATTTATGACAACGATACAGCAGCAACCATACACGCGAACGAAAGATGACTGTCGAATGCTAGATATTGTCACAATATTTATTTAAGTGTCGAATTGCTAGATATTGTCACAATATTTATTTAAGTCTCAAATTTGAATCTCATACATTCTCCTTGTACATGGATGTCCTTGTACCATGTTGTCCCTCTGGTCGCATTTAGAGTCTGGTTTTTATAATATGTTAATAAAATCATTTCATAGTCAAGCTGCTAGATGTATTACTGTCTATGCTGCCTTTGACGTGAATTTAAATATTACTGGTTTTTGATACGATATCGTGTTGTGAAGCGAAAAATGCACGAATCTAACTTTTATATTCACAACATTATAAAGAACAGTAAAACAACTATGTTTTCACAATTATGGACTCATAAAAAATAAATCAAAAAAGAAAAAAAATAAAAAAATTTAGAATTAAGCGTGGTAAGAGTAAAATAAATAAAATACTTTTGAATAAAATAATGTTTCAGGACACATTATAAAATATGTATTAACAAATGAGGCTGGACATGTACTATTTCTTTTTATTATTATTATTTTTTTCTGTTTTTCTTCAAATAATATAAAATGCGTTATTCGTGTATAATTTTTATGAATTTCAAAAGTAAAAGAGAAATGTAATTTCATTAATTATCTATATTTTACATGAATTTAAATATAAAAATAATAATGCATTTTAATGCAACGGTTAAGAATTACTTGTATGACGAAAAAAGTTTTATACCAGTGAATAAAAAAGTTTACCCTAATAATATGAAAGTTGATCTGTTTTCGTAAGTAGTATACTCACATTTAGGTAAATTTTTATTAAGATTCATAAAATTTGAAAACTTGTATAATTACATTCACAGCTACTTTATAGTAAATAATCGAAAATGATGTCTTATATGAAGATTTTCAAAAGAAATGTACATTGTGTTATATTATATAAAAAATATTTTTCTTTCATTTTTTCGTAATTGGTGATATCTTATAGCACGAATTATTCAAATATTTTATTAAACATTATACTTTTTAGAATTTAAAAAAATTGGATGTTCAAAGTGCAATATAAAATAATGCGGAAATCTGTGGTATAATATGATTTTAAATATAAATTTAAGCGATTTCAATATGAAAATTGTTAATGTATCAATGATTTTAATTTTAATAAGAATAGTAAATTTCGATGTACACATATATATGAAGCTGAGTTGTAAAACTCAATGTGTAAAAGGGTTATAAGATAAGAATTTTAAAACGAAACGTTATTGTAATTATAAAAAGAAGAGGGACATCAAAAAGGGGAGAAGAGAGAGTTATAATAAAGCATTTGAGAATAGCATCTTCGCATTAAAAGAGAGAGAGAGTGAGAGAACGAGTGAAAGAGAGAGAAAGAGAAAGAAAACAATTAATTTAATATATTTTATTAAACAAAACATACTAAGGATCTAAATAGTAAAACACTAAAACATTATTCAAATTAGATTATGCAGAAATGGTTAAACGGAAAATAAAAGTACATATATCATCTCCGTTCACTTTTTTGTTACACTTGACATTATTTAACTAATTTCAAGTGATAGTATTTAGAAGACATCAAGCTTTTTATAAGCGTAGAAAATATGCGACAGTGCGTATATTGTTTAAGTGAGGATGAAAATGAAATCTGTAAAAATCATTTGATAAAAAATAATCAGTGTTTTCTGGAACGTTTGAACATTAAACTTTAAAATGAATGCAATTAATTTCGTTAATTTTTATATTACGTATTAACCGGGATTCATCATTTTTAATCAAATTCTTTATGCACAAAATAAAGCTTGAATGTAAATAAATTGAGTGAGTTGAAAATTATGTTGAATAAAATTAATTCAGTTTTTACATCTTTGTATGATGATTATATTACATTATGTTTTGAAAATGTTAAACAAAAATATTGATACACATGATTTTTTTATAGAAACTCATGATTTTCATAGTTCATTTCCATTAATATTTTACAAATTATTTATTATTTATATTATTACATAGGCTGAGAATTAAAACAAAAAGAAAGACATTGAAATAAATCATCAAGCTTAGATTACTAAATTTTCAAATTTCATAATATATGACAGGTAATATATTAAAGAACGCAAATTCACATAAAAAATATTAAGAATTATATCATGTAATATAAAATTGTATAATATTTATGGCTATGAAATGAAATTATTCCATTTTTTGCAATGTATGAATTAGTAATCATTTAATAAATGTTTTATATGCAATATATCATAAATTTTCAGGTTTTTGATCCAGCAATCTTGAAAAATCTTCTTTTGTTAATTTTAGTTGTCCAACTGCCAGTAAGCATGCCTTGTATGTGTGTATATATATATATATATGTATATATATATATTATATATTATATATATAGATTATAACAGATAAAATAAATATATATCAAATGTTTTAATATTTTGTATATATAATTTTATATAAAAGAGAAAAAATATATACATACATTTTGCTTCTTTAAGTTATGAACAATTAACATTTGTTTTTTAAACACTTGTATTAATTCAGAAAGTTGCTTTCCCAAATGATTAACTGTTAATTTTTTATCTTCTTGTAACTTCCTAATTTGAGTTTTCAGTTCCTGCATAGATATTAAGTAGATAAAAATATAAAATAATACAAGTTTTTTACTACAATATATTTTTATAAACACCTTCTCCTCTATTTCGGAATACTTTAGTGCACTTTTAAGTTTATCATTATTTTCCAAAGATCTGTTTAATCTCATAATACAATTATTGGACTGTTGATTTGTTATCTTTATCTGATTTTGAAGTTTATCCAAATCCTGTTTAAAATATTCTGTGAGTAGAAAAATAATTGGGGGAGTAAAAGAGAGGAAAAAAAATATGCATACTTTCTTCAAAACTGAATTTTCTGTATTTAATGTTTGTGATTGATATTGCAATTCCTTATTACTGTTTTCTAATTTTGCAATAGTTTCTCTTAATGATTCTATTTCAGTCTTTAACTTAATTTCAACTTTCTTATTTTCAGATTCCAAATTCTTGCAAATATCACACTAAATAAATAATGCAGTCATGTAAAAATTAATCAAATAAGTACTTTCATACATACATGAATTTTTGGTACCTGTTTTTTATATTCAATTCGCATTGTTTGTAGCTCATTGTGTAATATATCTACTTTACCTTTTAAAAAATTAAAAACCGTCTGGTTTGCCAGTTTTTTTTGTTTAGAAGTTTCATCTTCACTATTCTTTTGTGGTTCTACTTTTCTAACATATATATAAGTAATGTTAAAATCATATACTCCAATTATTGTAAAATATAATACAATAATCCAAAATTAAAATACATTTGCTATAATTTTTTATTATGTACGTCGAAATATACTTATTAAAAATAAATATAATTATATTTTTTCCTTACAATTTCAAAGTAGAGGATTGATCGAAAATATGTGGTAAAGATGAATTTCGTTTAACTGACACTTGAAAATCATTTCCATTTTGCATTTCTATACTATTTAAATAGGCTGTTTTTTCTTCACATTTCGTCACATTTATAGAATGTTTCCTCGAATTATTTAGACATTCATTGTTATAAGTGTTAACAACAGAATCTATTTTTGTTATCAAATTATTTGCTTTATGCTCAAGTTCTTTATTTAATCGATGAAATCTTTTTTCTTCAAATAATAAATCTTCAGTCATCTTTCTATATGATTACATAAAAAAATGTTCTGTTTTATTACTATCACTATATACTTTCATTGCTATATTCTGTACAATAACTTAACATCTATTCGATCAAACATTTATTTGTATTTATTTCCAACCCCTCCCTTCCTTTCCCTCTCGAGTTGCTGTGATGTGTGTGTGTGT